ATGTGGCCATGTGGCTAGATGACACTAGTGTTCAATTAACCTAAAATGAGAGATAATCGAAACGATTGTTATGAAAGTAATTATAAACTTGCATGTTATTTTGTTTAGATATAGAAAAATATTGATCTCGCGCAAGGAATAAATTAAAAATATAGAAAGAGATATCGTGTAGTATAAAAATGAATAATTTAAAATCATACGCGATGTGTATATTTCGTGTAACGAAATGCTTGATGAAATTTATAAAAAAAAGGCAATGTTTTGAAATAAGAACACGAAATTTTGTTCGAAGTTTTCGGGACGCTACGGAGCCAGCAAATGCGACCAATCGAATTTCCATGCCGACAGGATTACGTAACCTGTACGAGTAGGAACCGTAAATTGGACAAATCGATGCAACCCTACCAAAAATTTTGTTTGACCTAGATACAGAGATCTGTGAAATCTTCGGCTCAACTTCAGTTTTTAGAAGTTTTCAGAATTCGAATTATTTTTTCAATGTATTTCTATAGACGTGTAGATAATTTCAATTCACTTCTGGATTGGATTTAATTTTAAAGTAGTAATATAAATCGTTCTTAAACTATTAAATTCCAACAATTAATATTATCGTTCTCAAAATGTATAAAAGCATATAGAAATTCGAGTAATTGAATACTCCAAATTCCTAACTTGAACTAAATCTTCTATCCATAAATTGAATAAGTTTGTTCCTAAACTTATGTATTAATTCTTCGAGTTTCTATGATTGATTGCTTCTATCGAACTTAGAGCTTCGTTTTGTCTATTGCTGCGAAACTTTGAGAAGGAAAGCTTTGAACCATTAGTGTCCAAACTATTCTACTAATTTCTGATAAATCATTAATAGAAGACGTTCAAGATAGTTGTAATAAAATGGAGAGAAACGAGCGATAAGTGAATTATTCCGCAAACTATGTAACATGAAAGGAGAGATTATCGTTTGTACCATTAAAATGCGAAGGTGCTTTCGAAAAATTAGTAATTTATTATAAAAATAACGTATCTTTAATTAATCTTCAAAATCTAAGAATCTTCACTTTTGATTCGATAAAAATCTGTCCTTTTTTTTTGTAACTTAAAAAAATCAGAAAGAGAAATATACACGCGTAATTATCTCAATTTTTCAAACTCTTCGAATAATCTGATAAAAAAATATTTTACGAACGAAAGTAAATCAAGTAGGCTATAAATATTGTAATAAAAAAAAAATTGTTTAATATCAAACTAAGGTCATCTTAACCTTATTTTAAATTCTTAATACTTTGTTCTTAAATTCATAAGTAATTTTGAATAAGAGATACGATCATTAAATTAAATTTGATGAGCGTGACTGCAAATTAAATTGCAAAGATCTTCGTTATTGTTATACATTTTTCTCTTAACGAAACGTAATCATTGGTATTATTAGTAACGATATTGTAGAATGGTAGAGTGGGGCGCAGAAATGACGGAGTTTTACTACTTCAGGCGAGGAGAGGGAGCTCCGACTGAACGAGGCGAGCTTCGAACGAGCGGCCACGCTACTCCGGCGGGTTCCGGAATTCACTATAGCCGCCGCTCTACGACAAGAGGAGGCCAATTCCGGGACAATCGTCGCCTTTTCACATGGGAACAATAGGTAGGGTTCACGTGTGATTTCGTTCGATTCGAGAATTCAAAGAGAGAGTTCAAACGGGAGAAAATTTTCAAATTCTTTCTCCAGTCTTTCCTCCTTATCCCCCTATTATGATAAAAGATTTATCATAATTTTTGTAAAGAACAAAATATTATTACGATTGATACTCTCTTGTTGTAAATTCGTTCTTAATCTAAAGGCAGAAAAAGAACAAATTTTTTTTTGTTTAAAGATAAAGATAATATTTCACATGTATTTGTAATGTAACGAAATTATTAATAAACGAATTATTTCATCACAATTAAATTACAATCCAAACAATTCTAATCTCACTTTATGTTTGTATGAAAATCTATCTTCACGGACTTACTATATGTTTTATAAAACATAACAACAAAGGAGAAAAGTATTATGTTAGTTAAATAACAGTTTAATCCCAATCGATTGTAATTACGATTCGAAAATGAGTTAGCAACCTTTAATAGAATTGACGAACTGAAAAAGGTAGGAAGCCAGTTCTTAAGGAAGTTACTGTGTCAATTGTTGAGTTGGAACGAAGGAGAGCACTTAACCTCAAAGTAGTCGCACCCTCTGTTGGCACACGAGTAGCGCAATCTAGTCGTTTTAATCTGGCTGACATAAATTAGATGCATGTATCTACTGTCCGCGTATTTATACAATAATTAACACGCTTCGTGAAACCAGAAATCATTCAGTCAGAATTCAAGAGGAATTAAATTTAATTTGATATTTCTATGAAATGTAAATTAGGATTTAGATAGTTTTATTAAATTACTAATATATCTGATTTCAATATTTAAATTTTTCTATATTTTATTCAATGTATAGTACAGTATAGTAATTTAATTTTATTTTATTCGTCTTTTTTTTTTTTTTTGAAAAGAATATATTAGAGATGAACGTAGAAGATAAAGGTGATATGTATTTATTAGAATTGGAATATCGATTGCATTTATTATTGTCAGGCTTTTAATCTCGATGTATTAAGGACGTGGTAGATGGATGGTAAGTGTAAAACGGAAATTGCCATGCATACACCCCATCAATTTCCTTCTGATTCAATCGCGTAATCTATTTAATTCTGTATAATATACGTTTCAATTAACAAGGTAAAATAGTTTTAATCGATCTACAGATGCGATTCGTGTACCACATTGCTTTATTGAACTTGCTCCATTAGATTGCTAAACAATTTCATGCCATTAACCAGATTCTAGTAAATTTCTAGGGATATAATCTTATAATCTTGTTCAAGTTCAACTAAGTTACAGTCTCTGTATAATCAAAACTTGATTTCCAACGGAAAATGGAAACATAAAGTAGTAAAAATAAATACAAAATAAATAAATATTTCTAGAATCGAACGAATAACAGAAATACAATACATTTTAATTATTTCGAATTCAATCAAACGAGAATGTAATAATTTTAAATAATTTGAAAACTTGTGAAATTATTGATTATTATTTATAAAATTTTTTTCAATATTTATTCAGATATTTGGAGCTGCAGAGCAGCGGCCGTAAAGACGAACTTCGACTGCATTATGTATCACGCCGGGACGGTAGTGTCCACGTGGAGGCGTTCCCTTTTCGTCTGGCCGATGGCGCTTGGCACAGGGTCGCCCTGAGTGTAAGCGGCTCGCAGGTCGAGCTGCTCGTCGACTGTCATCCTTTGTACAGGCGGTTACTTAGGCCTGGACCACCTGACACCAATTTCACTTTGCCACAATTACAACTCTGGGTTGGCCAGAGAAATGTCAGGCACTTTCTCTTTAAGGTACCATCTCCTCTTCTTAATCTTTATCTATTTTTCTTTTTTTTTTTTAGCAAGTATTGATGTTCGATTAATAAAAAAAAAAAAAAAAGAAAAGAAAAAGGAAAAAGAAAAATGGAACGCAATTATAATCTTTTAAGAGAAATTTTAATCAACTGAGACAAGTTCGTACGATTTTCGCGCCACAGGGTGCTTTGCAGGATGTGAAGCTGATACCAGGCCCCCATGGCTACCTTTCCCAATGTCCCCAGCTTGATTCGTCTTGTCCCACTTGCGGTCAATTTTCTATATTACAAAACACAGTGGAACAGCTGATGCATAATCTCAACGAGCTCACGCGTAGGGTGAGTATATCTCTTCACCAGGTTTTAATTTTACTTTTGTATTTGTGTATGGTTAAGTTTTTAATTATTATATATAAAAAAAAAAATGATACTTTTGAAAAGTAATTAGAAAACTTTGGTTTCCTCTCATTCCCATCCTTCCTTTTAGCTAGCCGCTGCAGAGGGCAGGATAAGCAAAGTGGAGGAGTGCGAGTGCCAAAAGTCGTGCAGGGCAAATGGCACCGTTCACGAGGATGGTGCGACCTGGGAAAAGGGTTGCCAACAGTGTTCCTGCGTTCATGGGGAGATTGAGTGCAGACCGACACCCTGTGCGCCTGTAACCTGCAAGAATCCTGTCATTCCTCAAGGACAATGTTGTCCTATATGTTTAAGTAAGTATCGTGTTATTTTTTTGAATTAAAAATTGTAATCTTAAATTGTGCGTGATTAATCGAATGTTTTAATCAATGGATAAAAAAAAAAAAAAAAAAAAGCTTGGTCCAATTCTAGTTGATCAATTTTAAAAATAATTTGAGAACAAATTTTTTTTTTCTAAATATTATATGTTAATTATTAATGTTATGTGATCAATAATTGCCTCCAGAGCAATGTTATTTGCACGGAGTAATTTACGATCACGGTGAGAAAGTTTCGCCGAAACAGTGCGTAGAGTGCGACTGTTTCGATGGCAGCTTCACTTGCCAGAGATTCGACACTGAAACAAGATGTCCGCCATTGCCCTGTCCACCGAGCGAGCAGATCAGCGTAGCCGAAGAATGCTGCAAGTTCTGTCCGGGTATGGTTATTTATAGAAGTATATTTCAAATCACTAAATATTTTATGATACTCATCGTCGTGATTAATCTTCTTCGATGCTTGCAAGAATACATGAACATTCAATTGAGAGTGAATCGCAATCGTTCATACGTATGACGATAACGTTTGAATGCTTAATCATCAAGTATTACTAATTTTAATATTTCGAAAAAAATCATTTATAGAATCGTGCTTGAACTGTATTATAATGATTAATCAATCGATTATACAGCCCATGGCAAAAAATATTTATCAAGGCAAATGTCTTAAGAGATCAATATACTATAAATCTATTCAATTTGTCATAGGTTTTAATTGAAATATATATTTTTTTAATTATATATATTAAGCAAAATTTTGCTAAGGGTTGGATTCGATATTACGATTCAATCGTCATTTATTACTAAAATTTTTTTAATTAAAAAATGAAAAGAACGATGCATGCCATTTTATGGTACTCACATTAAAAAAATCCCTAGGCGAAATTTCCTCTTTTCTGCTATCAATATTCATATCCTAAATGGCATGGCAGCCAAGCAATATCTAAACCGAGAAAAACGATTCTAACCATTTGATTCCAACGCTAATAATTGAATTTTCTAACCATCTCTGCATTTTCCTGGCTAACCCAATTTAACCAGGGGTGGACTACTGTGCGAAGGGCCACAAGTGTCATGCTAATGCGTCCTGCCTGAATCTGCAGACAACGTACGCCTGCCATTGCGATATCGGTTTCCAGGGGGACGGTCATAACTGTCACGGTATCTAATGCTTCTCTAACTTTGCTGTCTCTCTTTTTGTGTATGTCTTTTCTTCTCTTTTTTCTTTGCGTCGATATTTAATAGCCTTTAATTCAATTAAATCCACTGAGATGGCGATCGTGATATTTCCGTCGGTTCCGACCCTTCATCGTTAAATATATAGAAGATCGATGTTAGTACACGCATAATCATATAGCATATGTTTGTTCGTCCGTGATTTTATTGATAGTCAAACATGTCAAAGAATAAATTTTTCGTGATCGTAATTTCGTATCAAAATTAGTAACGTGTGTGTTCATGTTTCTGTAATATTTAGATTCAAATCGATTGATGCTTTGTTTATAGATAATTAAAGTTTGAGATTCGTGAAATAAAAATTACTTGAATGAAAAAAAAAAATCGTCACGTAATACTATGCTATAAAACAAAGATGGCAATTATGTAATAGAAATAAAAGCATTTTTTTTCTAAAGTTATATTTTTGCACCTTAAAAATTATTCTCGTCGTTCTATTTATTTTAGTAGAATGTATATAAGTTTGACCTTCAAATGACCTAAAATAAAATATCATTTATCTATATAGTGTAGAATTGATTGGTTATTCGGATCATTTGAGGGTCTGTCTAAGTAAAAGAAATTAATCGAAAATAATTGATTAAATACGTTAACGTCACAGACATAGATGAATGCAAACAGCAAGGTGGCTCCGAGGGGCACCATTGTAACGCAAACACTAAATGTGTGAACGTGAATGGCTCTTACACGTGCGAGTGTCTTCCGGGTTACCACAGAGTAGACAAATTCAACTGCGCCGAGTTAGACGAGTGTGCGACTGGTCATCATGCGTGCGACGAGCACGCCACCTGCGTGAACACAGCAGGAAGTTACTATTGCATCTGTGAAGATGGCTACACTGGCGACGGTTACACATGCAAACGTATGTTTATTCTCTATAATGTTTTTCTCATGTTCTGGTTCCGTCTTCCTGTTGTTTTAATTAAAAAAATTTTTGTTCATCTTCTTTAGCCGTTTGCAATCAAACCTGTCAAAATGGCGGTGAATGCGTGGCGCCAGGAAGATGTTCCTGTCGGCGTGGCTACATAGGCAATAGTTGTGAATTAGATTTGGACGAGTGTGCGAGTGATTTACATCGGTGTCATCAATCATCAACGTGTTTCAATATGCCCGGTTGGTATTATTGTCGTTGTAAACCGGGTTACAGAAGCGCCCTCCATGATAGTACTCAGGGTACACAATGTCTCGATATCGACGAGTGCAATGACCAAACGATCGAGAGGAGGCATACCTGTCATCCTAGTGCTAAGTGTGTCAATACCGAGGGTGGTTATGAATGTATTTGCCCGCCTCAAGAGGAAAATAGTACTATGGAGGAATGTAGACTGAGTAAGTATATATATATATATTATTTTTTTTTTATATAATTCTAGGGATTTTTCCATTATCAAGTTTTAATGGTAACAACTCGAAATATATAATATCCATTTATAAGGAAGAAGTAAAGTACTTGTATGGTTAATAGGTTGTTGGTTCGAAAATCAAGAAGTGAAAAACGGAGAAACTTTAGCACCAGCCGAAAATTCCTGTAGGAGGTGCACTTGCAAAGATGGTGTTGTTACGTGTAGGGACCCAATTTGCGATTGCAGCGCTCCAGGAAGTCATCGGGATAAGTGTTGTCCGCAATGTGATCCTGCAGCTTCTTGTAGGCATCAAGAACTTCATCATCTAGTCTTCAGAAGTGGCGAACGATGGATATACCAATGTCAGACTTGTGAATGCCTGGTAATGGCACTAATAAAAATTATACAGTCAATTTCATTTTCTTTAATAACATCCACTTTTAATCTTCTATGATCTAATTATTGCTAAATAAAATATATTATTCAAATAACATTGCAATCTTGATCCGTAATAAGCAATTATCTTCAGTGAAATTTGAAACCATAAATGTTTATTCGGAATCATTATCTTAATTATAGAATAATATTGTTACTCGATTTAGAATTTAACAATTTTTCGTATGTCGAATTTTTAATTCGAAAACCAAAAAAAGCCAAATAATATATATCTAGATAAGAAATTTCAAGCGAATATTTTATCTCGGAACAAAATTATATTCGAAAGTAATTTGGATCATAAAGTTTCATCTTTCGCGATAAAATTAGATTCTATATTATTCTTAACAATCACATTTAATAGTTTTAATTTGAAATGTTTAGAATTATGACATGATTTATTTCAGTACGGCGAAGTAGACTGCTGGCAAATGGAATGTCCACCAGTGACTTGCTCAAACCCTGTGACAGAGGATGGGGATTGTTGTCCTCGTTGCGAAGACGATCCCTGCGCGAGAGAAACGCTTGGAAATGACACATCTCTCTCGGTATTAACTAGGCCACAACCTTGCAGCTACTCTGGAATTATCCACGAGAGTGGCAGCTCCTGGCAGGATCCCCATGACAAGTGCACCACGTGCGAGTGCAAGGTAAGAAGGATGTCCGGCTGTGGTAACGTCGGGGGACCGCATAATCGTTCGCCTCACAAGATACGAATAAAATAGGGGGGTTCGTGAGGAAAGAGAGACACGAAACGTTATGGAGAAACTGTGCCTTAGACAATAGATTTTAAAATTAATAATGTATAATGATTTTTTAGCAGAATATTCTTTTTTTAATTTCTTTGATGAAACAAGATATATTCTTTGTAATAAAATGTTATTTAATAACACTTGTTTATAACATGGATAAATGTTAGAAAGAATTTCATTTTATCGTGTTCTCTTTTCACATGAAATCAAGAAATCAAGGTCAGTAAATAAATAAAAAAGACTAAATATCGCCTTCATTTAGCCGTGGATCTGTCCTGCGTCTGATCAAATTACGTTTACTGTGTTCCTACGAGGTGCGACCAGTTGCTGTGCGGGAAGCGATCATTTTCAAAATACATTGATATATTTACATAATACATGTGGCGGATTAATATTGTACTCGAAATGATTTTATCTGATGATATTTCCTATAAGCTTTAATTGAGATGACCTCAAATTGGTTGAAGTAAACTTTTAACATTATTTTGCATTCTGTATGAATAATCATTAGCATTGATATAATTATTTATTAACACATGTGTTAAATAATATAGATAATTGTAAATATATTTGTTGAAATTTTTGAATTAATTAAAAAATATGATATTTTATCAACTTTGTTAATTTTTTGTAAACTATTTGAAAATAATAACTATCACATGATCTTCTTAAATTTACAACAAATTATCCGCCACGTGTTTAACTAAAATCACACACATTAACATATAAATTTATTTTTTAATCATTTTTTTTTTTCTCTTTGTTTTCGTCTCACTGTCTATTTTTTTTTTTTTTTATCGTATTAGTAGGTAACCCTCGTATAATACAAGGTACCTATACATATATTGACTATCATTTATTTCCAGTATGCCATTATTTGCGGTGTGTATAACGCGAGTCAACTTTTTGCAAGCCTAATTGCGCTAAAATTTTATTCTTTATTTTACGCTGAGAGAAAATTTGATCAAATTCTATTTCGGAATTTTCTTTAAAGTCTTTGAAGTACATATGAAAACGATGACTAATGACGAATCATATATAATCTCACTTATACACATAGTATATAGTTCTAGTTCGCATAATCATCAGTTTATTAATTAGAGTAATTTAGAATGATAATAACGATATAAAAATTAGATTAATTAATAATATTCTAAATTTAGAATGAATTTAAAATTGCAAGTAGTTGAAACACAATTTAACCTTAAGTATTTATGGTAGAATAAAATTTAAGCATAGAATAGAATTAAGCTAGACTTAAGTTGGCATTAGAGTACTTAAAACTGATTAAGACTCATTTATAGTTTAACAATTAAATTCGAATCTATTCGAATCAATCGAATCTAATCAAATTTAACATAGTTATATATTAAGAATTACAGATAACCTGCTTCAAAGGCTGAACGAAGTCTTGGATTAAATTAAACTTATTTAGAAATATGTTCTCTCGGCGTGAGCTACCATTGCGTCGTGCTAATATTATGCAAATTATCTGATGCTGTATTCACCACTTGTAAATTATTTCAACTCGGATATCTGTTTTATCAATACTAGCGTACGAGATACGTTCAGGGGCGTCCCTAAGTTAGCGTAGACTATTATGTGCAATGTTTTTTCGTTAGCTGCCTTGCACGCGGCAGTGTTCATTATTATTATTATTATTATTATTATTATTATTATTATTGTTATTATTATTATTATTATTATTATTATACTATTTAATCTTTCACTTTAAGTAAGAAAGACGACATTTCTAATTCGGCACCGTATATCCATATGTGTATTTACTATGTGCATGTTTATTCGTGATATCAGAATAATCACGTAATATTGTACGTAACGTAGAAACGAAAGCCGTTTAATTAATTACTGTTATCGTTGTAATCGTTATCATTATTATTATTATTATTTTTTTTTGTAGTAATTTTTATTTAATCAATTGTACAATTATTATTATTATTATCTCTTTTTTTTCGTTTCAACCCTTGCTCACTGTATGAATCAGATATTATTAAATAGCTTTTGAACGAAAATCAAGGAAAATAGCTATTGATGGGTGGTAAATCGTAAGTTATCGTATCGTTTAGATTCTTCACATCTTCACGGTGGTCATCATTTACAAACATGTCATTTACAAACTTTTTTGAACACTGCCGCGTAAAGTAAAACCGAAATCATGCGCGCAAAACGTAAAACTCTGATCAATATCGATCCAATTTTTCCAATGTGATTCGAGTTAAAAACTCTTATTGCTTCGGGTCGGCCCTGCATGGATCGTGTTCAGTACGTATATATTCGCCTAATAACGACTAATTTTCAATTCGATTTCATTACAACTAAGCGTAGCATGACCTCCACCTCGTCAATTTATTATAATCTATTTTAAGAAAGAATCAATAGCAAAAATATCGACGAATATTAATATTTAATTTTTAAATAAATGTCGATATGTGTTTTTAATAAGTTATAAAATTGTAGAATGAGGAAATTATTAAAAAATAAATAAATAAATAGAAAGGGGAAAAAGTAACTAGAATTGGAATCTATAAACAGATTTTCAAAGAACGAAAAAAATAATTGAATATACGTGTTTAAACGTGAATAATTTGAAATAAATGGACGAGGAGAGATGGGCTGATGTGTTAAAAATAAGATAATTAACATAGAAAGAGCGAACGGAGTGTTGTGTAATCATGCTGCGAAATTCTTAATCTCATGTCATTTCATAACATAAACACACATCAGCCGTGAATGTCTAACCTGACTAGCCTAACGATGGGTATCCTTGCAGGTGCCGTACTGCGCCCAATTGGTGAGCAATAGCGCGTGTTGTGTGCATCGGTAATCACGTCACTTCTACCTCACCTATAATCTTCTCTACCCGCCTTTTCTTCTCTTTTATTTATTGTTAATGTTTGTTCTTTTATTCTTACTTCTTCACTTGTCACGAGCTCGAATGCTTTTATTTATTCTTCTGTCCGCTTATTTCGAATAGCACCTTGGTACCCACTTCTCTCCCCTTTTTGGCCGTTGGCCAAATTAATCGCTTCTTATCTACAAGCCCTCGTTTCGATTTTACTTTTTCTCTCGTAATATTCGTTTGGAATCCATTAGAGGAAGTAATCTAGTAACATGTCCCTGGTTCATTCGTTCGTAGAGGTCTCTTGCGTTCGTTGATCGCCGCACGCTGGTCACCAGGCATGAACCTTTTTCGACGTTTTCCTTGCGTTAGGTTACATGCACTGATCGTTTATGCCACGTGTATTTAAAATTCGTTCTAAGTTTTTTTTTTTTTTTTTATAAGTAATAATAATAATTGGTGACTTTTCTTTTTATCTATCTGATAATGTTCTTTCGGTTTTCGGGAATTTTTTTTAATAAAAGATCGTATAAAAAAAAAGGGGGGGTGGCGTATATATTAATAAATATATTATACGATCTTTTTGACAGCGTGTGGCATAGACAAGTAGTGACACCGCGCAAGAAAGTTTTTAACTCTCCAAGGGTAAAATCGCGAGCACGTCGCATGTTTCGTATTAAGAATTATATTCAGAATTACTCTTGATCGATCTGAGAAGACGATTATTATCTTATTTATTTTTTAACGATTCGTAATATATATTTATAAATATTTCGTGGTTAAATCAACAATCAATGCTATTGGTGCTAAATTCAAAATATCAAATTTATTTATCATTAAAAAAAAAATGAATGTTAATTATTTTTATTATTAAAAAAGTATAAAAAAATTTGTGCAATTGGAAAGAAGTGAAATATTATTATTGATTAATTGATTCTAATATTATCGATTGCACTTTTCTTTCCTTCCTTTGAAAATAAAAGATAAATCTATTATTATTATTATTATTATTGCTTTTGAATATTTCTTTCCGTCGATCGTTCGATCAAGAATGCTCAATACGATCCTCCACTTTAATTACAGTGGTTGAATGCACGTTTACAATGATTCGCATGTACCGATTCACCTCACGTTTTTTCTTTCTGACTAAAAAAAAAAAAAAAATACAATTAACGTCTCAATTCATTCGATTCGAAAACGCACATTAAAAATGCACTGTCGTTAAATTGACGAAAAGAGATAAATTCGGATTTCTAAAATATTTGATATCGGTCGGGTGCACGACGCACGTGGTGACAGACACACGCTCACGTACAAATATACGTACACACAATTGCATTATAATTCATTTTTTGTGTTTCCTTTATTATTATTATTATTATTGTTATTGTTATTATTATTACTATTATTATTATTATTACTATTATTATTATTACTATTATTATTATTATTATTACTATTATTATTATTATTATTATGATTTTGTTACACTTGAGCCTCTTTTGCACCCTCCTCTGATCTGCATTCGAGATTCGATAGAAGCACCAAGAATCTCTTTCTCTGTCTATCGAGTATTATCTAGCAATGATTCTGGCAAGAAAAAAAAAAATAAATAAAATAACAAATTTAAGAATAATTCTTATGAAGAAGAAAAAAATCTAAGTTTTGAAATTGTACAAAACATAATATAACCTATATTTTTATATAAATCAGATTTTAAAAGGATTTGAAAACTATATCGTTTTCTTTGTGAATTTGATACAAATTACAATCATGATCAAAACACTTAAGACACATAACACATAAGACTTAGTCAGTTTTGTTAAAATCATTGCTGGAAGTAGTAATAACCTAGATACGGTATCCTCAAGGTGTCAGATACATACTATGAAATTCATTGTTTTGTTTCCCGAATGTCAGAGCATGAGTCTGTTATGAGTCGAGTTCTTGTAATTTGTGCTTGTAAAAGCAACATTTTTTTTATTAATCGTGCACGAGAAAGATCCATCGAATCTGGGTGATCAACATATATATTATATATATATATATAAAGGACGCAAATTTTCCACCACAAACGGATTCACCGTGCAATCGTCGTACGCGATTTCGACGAAACAATGAATTACATATTATGTGGAGGATTACCTGAGTATCCCCTTCAACAATGCGAAAAGTCTTGGACCAACGTTAATCAGGATGATTACAATATCCGCGATTATCATATGCTTTCTCATAATGAATCAACGAATATCGATTCATATCATATACAACGAGCATTGAACACGTACGATTCGTTCTAACCTTTCAAAAGTTAAAGAAACGATCATGCACGCACACAAATTCACGTCGAAATCAGACGCACTTCCCTAATAGGTTCTCCGGATAAATTTAAATCAAATAAAACTATCATATCTTCTCTTTAAATTCGCCGAAATATTAAAAACAATCGCATTACAGATCACGCCGAGATAAATCATATTTTGTACAATTTGAAATTTCCCGCTTCTGATTATCCTCTACAACTATGCAGATCACGCACCCGATAGATGGCAGCACGCACGCGTACACCAAGACTTTTCGCGCGGGCAAGGGAGTATTCGCGTTGAATTTTTGTGCAAAGAATGAAAAGAAAAATAGAAATAATTGATTGAAAAAAAAAAAAGAACGGAAGAGGGCGAAAGTCAGGCGAACACGACACAGTCGCTTGGTCCCGTTCGTTTCGCCGTTGGCTAACCCAGTGTCCAACGAACCTCTCCGTAGGACGGGCAGCTATGCTGCAGCTACGATTACGGCTGCGCTGGCGATCTGGGCAGCAACAAGCAGCAGCAACGTCCTCCAGTCGTTGTTCCTGAGCCTGTCGTACGCAGTCTACCGAGTTCTACGCGGTCACCGATGGTTGATGGTGCATCGGAAGCAGCTGTATCAGCGGTTACCGCTTCCGCTAGTCCAACACCAGTCACCAGCGCTCACCTCCTCTCGGCATCGTCTTCTTCCTCATCCGTTAACAACGCCGCCGCCGGTGGTGGGTCGACCATCGTCAGAAAAAATCACTGGAACGTACAAAACAACCTGCCAAAACCATCCCAACAACAGAGGGACGGTCGTCACGTCAGAGTGCAAACACAACAGCAACAACAAATTTTACCGACAGCCAGGTACCAGCTGGTTTCTGGAGCAGCGACGGCGTCGTCGTCGGCGCCTGAACGCGTTACATCCGCGTCGACGTCGTCGACGACGACGATTAAAGCTCCGAACAAATCACAGACGTCCGCAACGAGACGTCAGCGCGCTAAAGCGGTCAACAACAGTCTCGGGAACCTGCGTCAGCGCGGCAATGTATCCTCCTCCTCCTCCTCCTCTTCCCCCTCTTCATCCTCGTCATCGCTATCGTCGTTCTCCTCGTCACCTCTCGCAATGCTGGTGCCATCTGGAACAAATCTCGAGCCCCAAGCTGACAACGTCTCAACCATTAACGACAACAATACTAGGGAGAATGTGGTCGCGAACGGTTACCGTCAGCCGGCATCGACAGGAGGGCACCATCGGCGCAGCGATGGCGGAGAATCCGTGGCGCGCAACAGTGGTGCCACCTGAGGCTGACGCTCGCGTGGACAGTTAGAAGAGAAAGAATAAACACTGGCAAGGCATTCCAAGGGGTGTAGCACGGGAACTGGGCCGTGGCCCGATATAGGAGCGAGTTTGGAGAAGCGTTCTCCCTATGGTCATCTATGATCGTCTAATTGAGGCCGTTGTCGAGGGAAGCGAGTGCACTGAACAAGAGGAACGCGACCACGGAGTGATACGCGTGAAAAGCACAACAAGGGGAAGTCCGTTTGGATTTGATTGTTCGACGATCAACAAGCGTGATACCACAACATGCTAAAGGATGAACAACGTCCAGTTTCCCTGGCGAGATCGATCCTCGTCCAACTTCCAGAAATCGTTGCGTATCTAGATCGTCTGTCAAGATACATTTCTTATTATCTGTGGTCTGTGCTTGTCCGACTTGAGTCACGATAGGACGTGGGAAAAGCTATCGACACTCGAGTTTGGATATAGATTAGGTCAAGCTTGACGCTTCGAGGACACAGTGTTCAGCGAGGAGTAATGATTGACCGAGGAAAGTTGTAGGTGTGCCAAAAATGTGAGCCAGCCAACACCGAGAACCGAAGTTGGAAGTTTTTGTTTGTAACGACATACGCGGACTCGATACGTTCCCTCCGATTACTTCTTTTCTTTTTAATTTTTGTTTTTTTTTTTTCTTCTCTCGTTTTGTTTCTTTTCTCGTCCCGAAGAGATCGAACAATCGAACAAAGGGCGGGTCCGTTATTGTCGTTGGTCGGACGAAATGTCTTTCCTCGCGTTTTGAGCTGGGTCAAGCATAACACAAGTGAGAGAGAATCGAGAAACTGAGCCCGTGACGCGCGGTGTCCTTCGGAGCGTTCTCTGATAAAAAGCAACATCGATCACACGCTTTCGCGATTCCTTTCTTTGGCATAATGTTGAACAGGTAGCGCACAATATTTGGGCCTTATAAAAATTATAAACAGGAAAACGAAAAAATAAAAAAAAAAAATAAAATAAAAAAAGAAGGGTGTCTTTCTTCGTCTTTTCGCAAAACGGAAAGGCTGATACCGCGTAATTTGAATCGTGTTCTCTGTTTTTAAGGCAAGACGAGAATATTAACGAAAAGTAAAATGATAGGAATTATCGTAATTTATCGTAAGGAATTGAATATCCCAACAAGAAGGACAAAGAAATAAAAATATCGAATTGCGTTATGAAGAGCTCCGTAATATACTTATTAATATATACAAATATATATATATATATATGTATATTATATATATATATATGTATAAATATATATATATATATACGTGATGTATATTCAATATACGGAATCATGCGTGAAACGATTCTATTTATAGAGATTAATGTGAATCGAGATCGATCTTGTCGATTATAAAATAAAAAAAAGAAAGGAGAAGTACGTGTACACCTATACATATATGTAATAAAAAAAAAAAAAAAAAGAGTATTCTCTTTGGATCATATCTCGACAATATAAGGTAAACGCGCGATATACACCAAATTATCATAATGCGGACGTTATAGAGATCGTGTCTTCTTGGATAAAATGGAAGCGATTAATTAAAAGGGCAAAAAAGAAAAAAAGAAAAAAAAAAAAAGAAAAAAAATAAAGTGGATAAAAAATCGTATAGTCTTTACGCTTGAAACGTTAACGTTTAAGAGTCATCGTTATGTATTAGGATAACGCCAAGATTCCGATTCTCCGTGGAGATCTTGAGAGAGAGAGATAGCAACACGCTTTTCTTTGTAGAGGGCCAATTATATATAAGCCGGTTCAGTTTCTCTGGTTCTGAAACGCTGAATGGTTTATGCCTGATCCATATGTGTCGAATCATAGAGCGCGCGACCTGTGCCTCCGAGGATTCAACATCCATTAGTCTTCGCTATTTATGCAGTGGAAGGTTGAACGTGTTCGTGTTCGATTATTTCAAGCAAAAATTACATTTCAGATATTTTATTTGTATTATTACAATATTCTTTGATCATTACGATAAAAGCATATATATATAAAGTCATTTGAATCCGTTAGAAAATAGGTTAGAAAGTTTTTAGATTTGGTTTAATTACAAGTAACAAAATAAGGCTCAAGTAATATTTTGAAAAATGCATTGTTATTGATTGAATTTATGCAAGTATTTTTCGATTGAAGTATATTTCGATTAAGGACACGTTTAATTTTTCACCGATGTGATTGGGTATTCTTTTCAATTATAAGTTGCATACCGGACGATGAACGTGCCGGCTTGCTTGAACGATTCTTTATCTCGCTCAACCCAATGCGATCACTACGACTACATTCCTCCTTGATTAACAATAAGTAGGCACTAAAAAATGAGAGAAACATATAAATATATATATATATATTTATAAATATTTATATATATATATATATAATATATAAATAACGAGGAAATAAAAATGTGGATAAATTAATTAATTAAAGAAGCAAGGAATGGATGGATAAATAAAATAAATAAATATAATATATATATATACACATATGTATATATATATATATATATATACATATATATATATAATATATATACAGTGTTGTATAAAAGTTTTAGGTCACTTATCAAACAAGAATATTTTGTTTTCGTGATATTTAATATTATTCTAATTCTGTCATTATTATTTAATTAAAATGTGTTCAATACAAGAATTTAATTACTTTGAAAAATATAAATTTATCTAAAATATAATGTTCTATGTACACGTATTACTTTTTTTTTCTTTCCAATTGTTTCGTTTTTCTTTTTTTTTTTCTATAAAATTGTCCTCCATTTTTCTATTTCATCGACATAAATCACTTTCGTATCATTTTCTATCATTTATTTTATTATCCTCATATTTTTGAATGTTAAGTTAACCAAGAAGATAAGATAACGAACAAGATTTCGTATATATAATACATATTTAGTTAACAATGATAAGACCAATAATATAAATGACCTAAAACTTTTTGTATAGTACAGTATATATACATGAAGAGAAGGCATTAATATAATATACATGTACGTATATATATATATATATAAATAAGGATAAAGATGAAGCATTCAAATAACGAATCAATTAATGGCAAAAGAAGCGTACATTCGTAATCGTTTATTCGATGTGCAATAACGTAACGGTAACGGCTTAATTTGTAAAGGAAGCTATTAGATACGCGGAACCAGTGTTGCTCTACATACATTTAAGGGAGGATTTTCATTAGTGTAACACAGTGAACATTTGTTAGTCACAGTCGCGTGGCGGCTGTTGCCCTCTAGTATTCCACCGTGCTTAAATCTTTGATTTCTTTCTTTCTTTCTTTCTTTTTTTTTTTTTTAAATATACGTTCAACAAAATCTCGAGAAATATTCATTCGAACCGACTCGTGGAAAAATTGACGCGGAGGACGGCCATTTTGTATTATAATAAATTCGTCACGTGACACAACGAAGAATTGACGTAAGATGGCGGCCAGTCATGCGACTTGGAAGTTCAGAGCACTCGTACGAAATGACGACGATTCGTTTCAATTTTTTATATACAAGAATATAATTTCCCATCGCGATTACTTTCCATTGAAAACGGATGGAAAGGGTCGCAAGTAGTTCCTCGCAAGTTAAGAAAAAAAAAAGAATTGAACAACGAGCTTTGTGCACTTCGTACGTGTACACGAACGAGATATACATACACACATATACACGCGCATAAATATGACCGAGAAATGAACGTGCATTGGGTAAATAAATTAATCGCTATTATCTAAAAATTGATCGAATTGAACACGCTGCGTTGCTCTGATTGTATATAGGATGTGTAATATTAGACAACATATTAGTGAGGCGTACATGTACACACATCAACAAAGTTAAAATAGAACCAAGGCTATTCCCTTCGTGAAAATTCAATTACGAACGAATTAATGACACCAAAAAACGAGATAAACAATATATGACATTGAATTTATTGATGTGCGACAAAAAGAATGATGATGATGATGATGATGAATGATGATGGATGACGAAGAGAGAAGGAAATTTTCTCGGATTATTTTGATCGATAAATTAACATTTATTATTGCCACGTGAAATTTTCAAAAATTAAAGACCAACGTTGAATTTTTTCTCTCTTTAAATCGTTTTATAGGTTATGCATTCTCTCTCTCTCTC